TATAGTGTAGTTAATTAAGTCATTTATTTATTTATTTATGTGTCTCACACTATCCATTTAATTTTTTCCCTTCAATCCGTTTATGCATAGTTTTAATTTGAATTATAAAGGCAGAACTATGATACTTTTTTCCTCAATAATATCATTCAACAATTGTTTTTTAGTTTTTTACCCACTCATTACTTTGTTTGAAATGTTTTACGTTCTCATTTAATCATCTATTTTACCTTAACTCTACCCGTTTAAAGAGATTTTGAATTTAAAATATAATGGTTGATACATTTTCCACCTTAATAACATTATCAAATCCATTGAAAATGACAATAAAATAAATCAGCCACAAATAATTATTTTAAAAAGGAATACTATTCCGTGATGATCCAACTTTGATAGTGAAGAACAAAATACAAAAGTCTATAAGGCTATATTGTTATAGAAATGTGAGCATATGTATTAAGAATATAAAAAGATGTATTGCAATAAAAAACATAAATACTACTAAATACCAAAAAAAAAATCTTTATAAAATCTTAATCTCCTTGTTTATATTTGTAGAGTTTCCCAATGGCACTCATCAGTTCCCCAATTCCAATATTAGATTTCCTTGGACAAATCCTCTTGATGTAAGAGTAGGGTTCCTATGACATCAATAAAGCTTAAGCCAAAATAAAGAATTGTAAAAAAATTATCTCACGCATTAGAATTCAACAGGGAGTACTCGGACGACAAAATGACATGAGTAAATAATTGCCAAAATTTTGTCCGACCATTCTGACAGTATTCGAAAAATAAAAATTTATTTATTTCTTACAATTTTCATCCAATTTAATTTTTCATTCAAATTCAAGTAGAGCATGCAATGATTACAAAATTCATTAATTTTGGTTGTAAAGAGAACCAATATACTATATGTATAGGAGAGGTTTTTTTAAAAAAAATTTTAAAACACTTCTTAATGTTCAACATGAAATATATAAACACTTATTTTTGGTTGTCTAATCAAAGAAAGAAAAACAAAATACTTATCTGACCATAAGCAAAGTATAAAACTAATGAAAGATCCCTCGCATCAGAAACAGTGCTCAAAGTCCGTGTGTAATGTTAAGGGAATCTCATATTTTCTGACTAATTTTTTCACCTTTTGAAGGCGTTCTCTTTTGCTACTTATGCTTATGTTGTTCAACCTTTCATGAAACAAAAGGGAAAAAAAAAGGAAGAGAAAATGCCGTAGTAGAAAATATGGGGAAGTGTTATTTGAGAGATAGACTAAATATCATAACTTATGATAATGATTCTAATTTTGTTCTCTCAATATAACAAATTTGTAGAGAACAAAAATGACCATGTGCAAAATCTTGTTTGTTTGAAGAAATTCCATATGCCAAAGAAAACTTCGTACCAGAATTCCCAGGATTTAAAGGCATGCTACATACCTAATTAGAAATTATGCAGATGATACTAATGATAAAAAATAGAAAAAAATTTACATAATTGAATAAATGTTATAAAATAATATTAAAAGGCATTCTTTTTCATACCAATAAGAACGTAGATGCGTAACCAAAAGAGGAAAACCATGTCAAAATGATGCTAAACACATAGTCATTGTGAAAGAAACCATCATCCTTCATCCACTTCTGCACCAAAAAAATAACAACAACAAAAGAAGATATCAAATCATTAAATTTGAATTGGAAAAAAAAAAAATTCTCCGGGTTCAAGCAAGAGTATGATGGTGATGCCCTTTTATAGTATTACTTGCCATAATTTTTACAAGAAATATGATAAAATTAATGTCAGTGGATTGAAATGACAAATGAGATAAGAAATTAATGTTAGTTATATTCAAATTCGAATACTATCCTCATTGAAAATTTAAATCCGTATTTGATGCCATATATATCTTAGGTATCTATTGGATTTGTTTTTAGAAATTTCCAGGGATTGTGACAATTCATAATTAATTGGAATTACCAAATGGCTAAATTAGTTAGAATAATGGGTTCAAAGTTGAAAGATTTTTGCATTTGATGAGATAAGGTTGACCTGAAATAAGTTAGTTATAATCTTTTAAGGTTAATAGTAATGTGATTTAAAACTTTAAACTGTGGTTTGAGTTTCGATTGAGGATCTGTTTCGATTGAGTTTTGAGCAGAACTGTTTTTGTCGGATGAGTTACAATTTAAGTAAAATACTAAACAATTATACCAACTGAGTTTATTAACAGAAGATAAAGATGTTTTTTTCTTTTTTAATAAATAAAAAAATAGAGAAAATTCTTAGTCCTACGTGGCAAGTAGAAAACTATCCCAGTTTCTTCTCTTTGGGTTTTCTATTATTAAGTTATATAGATAGATAAAGGAGTTTGGACCACTTCACACATGATAATTAGCAGGCATTGCTGTTACAGAATCTCTTTTTTTTTCTAATTAAATTTGTCTTTTCATTTTTGCTCAACAACGTGAAAATTAAAATTCAACTCCTTATCTATATCTAACTCGTCATCTTCTTTATTTGTCTTTTAATTCCCTCTCAACAGTTACAATAAAGAAAATAAAACCCAACTCTTCATATTCTTGCTCATTTTTTCTAATAATTACTAATCTATCTATATAATATACTAAGGAAAAAACCAGAGAGAGAAATCTAAAGGCATAGAGCACATGACACATAGGATTTAATCCTATGTGACATTTTCTTAATTTTTTAGATTTAAAAATGCCTAGGGTAAATTTGCAATATCATTAAGAAAAAAAAAATAGATACCCACTATAAAGTAATTGTGGGATATTATTAAAAACAAGTTGAGAGAGATCAAATTTAAATATGCAAATAACTTCAGTGATATTATTAATGTGGTAAAAAAAATGATCCTACCTTAGAATCAACGAAAAAAATGATTCTACCATAGAATGTCATTAAAAATAAGTTTAATGATTTTGATTTAAATTATTACAAGATATATAATTATTCAATTCGAAGTTGAATGCTTTTTTTTTTCTTTTCTCAACATTCCACATTATGCTGAAAATCACATATGTTTTTGTTTATCTATTTTATATTTTCTTTATGAATGAAGCCATTATAAAAAAGCTACTATACATTTATAACTAGCATTTTTGTTTTTCATAGAAAATTCATCTAATAATGAATAATTTCATTTTCTCTATATTATGATTTATATTGTATTTGGTAGAAATTTTCATCCATTAAATCTCTATTTTATAATTTCCATGTAAGTTTATTTGGTTGTCCCATTAACACCTTTAAATTAACAAATTATTTTATTTGCCACGTCCAGTTTTTAACCGTGACCAATTATATGTCGCCTTATCAATAGTCACTTCGAGACAAGAAATCAAGAACCTAATATGCGATGAATGTGGTAACGTCAATTTAAAACTATGAATTTTGTTCACAGAGAAGTATTGCAGGACATATAATCATTCAATTCAAAGTTAATTATTTTTTCTTTTTTATATTCCCTTTTTTTTAGATTTTTTTAATAATTCTCTTTACATTAAATAAATTATTACCATTTTGTAAAGTGTTGTTGATGTTTGTGTTTTATATTTTTCAATGAAATAATTATATAATTTATAATTAACATTTTATAAAAGTACAAAATCCATAAAAATAGTAATATTTTTATTACTTTGCTTGTGTTGTAATGTCTATATGTACATGTTCTCCCCGTCCATCGGACGGGTCTAACACCTAGTAGTAATGAAAGCTTTTGTAACCCTTAGTTTATTTACTTGTTTTATCCATTCCTCCAGTATAAAAATCACCTAATGGTTTAACAATTTTTGCACGGGTTTATCCTTCACACACAATTCTTTCCTTTTTCTTTTTTACCATTATCATCATTAAAATCATCATCATGATCAAATTAAATATATAATAATAATTAGCAAGTAATTAAATTTGCCTTTTCATTTTTGCTCGGCCATGTGGAAAGTAAAAATCAACATTTCATCTTCACCTAACTCATCTTCTTTATTTGTCTTTTAATTTTCTCTCGACAGTTACAATGAAGAAAATAAAATACAACTCTTCATATTCTTCATCATTTATTTTGATAATTATCAATAGCAATAAAAGTTTTTGCAACCGTTGGTTTACTTTATTTCTTTTCTCCTTTCGTCCTTCAGTATAAAAGATCACCTATTGATTTAACCAACACAACTTTTCAATTTGTCGAATTCTCTCTTTATCTCTCTCTTTCTCTTTTAGTTAATTCTCTCTTTGCTTTTTTCTTTTTCTTTGCGGCAAAAAATCAAATCTTCAAAGCTATATAATCGCGGGTGAGGTTGAGTTTGGAAGGTCAAATAGCAAAAGATGAGCCTTTTTTGGGGGGAAAAAAACATACTTATGGCGCAAAGATCGTACAAGCATGTATCTACCCCATGTTGAATTGAATATGTTTGCCTCCATAGATTGGAACGATTTTTTTCTTTTATGATTAACTATATGATTCCTTATATACTATATTCCGTTCATTGAAGAAACTCACCTTTCTTTCCCTTTTTACTTATCATTTACTAGTATTACGTAAGTGTAGTTCAAAACATTTTAAGACGTGTATTTTTCTTTTTTGACAATTCGTAATATATATGTCAAAAAAGTTAGTTAAAAATAACGATTTTTTTTATCAGTTTATTTTCCATTTCTATTATGACTAATCTTTTTAATTTCTATTATTACTAATCTTTTTATTTTTTAAACTTTTTAAAATATAATACTAGAGGTCACGAGCGTAATGCGTACTAAGTATAACTAGTTTAATATTATGACTATGTGCTATAAAATTAGTCATTTATAATATATTTAATTAGCTGTAACGTCTTATAGAAAGAATCATTGAAACGTGACTAAAATAAATTAAAAATTTAGAAAAAAGAAGAACAAAAATCCTCCTAAAACGACAAAGATTCCTTTATTAATTTTTAATTTAAGCACATGTACTTCATCCACAGCAAACCGATTGTACTAAAATAAAAATTCAAATTGGATAATCATATTAGAAGAAAAAGACATTGTTCGATAATAATCATTAACATATGTATTCAATCCGAGGAACGCTCGGGCATAATGCTAGTAAAACTGAAAAACAAGGATGAAATAAGCATGATTAAGAAGATAACATACATGGTTCACTTATTATCCTCCAAAGCAAGATGAAAGTTCACATGTACACTCTCTCTAACCAAGTGATTATTCAACCTCTCAGCAATTGATGTTAGCATCCGGATAAACATTGTAAAGATTCAGGGACAAAAGGTCTATACAGACTTCTGCTGGCTATATCGCAATATACCAAACACATCTACAATGCCAGGGGGGAACACAGGATCACTTGCTGCTCGTACAGCAACTTTGGCAACTGCAGTAACACTCACCGGAGGAGTTAGCAAAGGACCGATAAGTGGTAACTGGCCTAGCGGTTTTGCATGCTGCAAAACCTGCAGAACACATTCAGCAAAGAAATGGTTACCATCCATCTTCATGCGTGCTTACAAAAAACATTAAACATCCAAGCAGCACAGCTGGAAAATTCAGATCAATTGAAATGGCAATGTTTCTCCTACAGTGTCCGCAGTTAATCTCACATGTCACAGTAATAAAAATTGTAGTTTCTGAAGTTCTTGGTTTCAGGAAAACCCTTCTGAGAGCAATTTGGAACAGCAAGGGCAGAAAGCAAAACAAGCAAGGTCTTTTTCTTTTTAATCCCTCATATTCCACCTTTGGTATCACAGGATCAGTAAGATCTCAAGCAACCTCAGATTTATGCAAAAATTTGTAAAGATAGATTCTAGAATAGAAACTCCACAGAGTAAACAGAAGGGGGAAAAAAATCCAGGAACCCAACAAAAGTAAAAGGACGTCATACCATCTCCATCGGAGATCCAATCACACTAAGTGGAAGCTTCACGCTGCCAACACGACGAGTTCCATGTATAAATCCAGGCCTCAGTATGACACCTGACACAGAAAAGGAATGGCCTTCAATACAAATGTAGAAAGCAGGACATGGTCAATTTGTAGGAGGCAATTCCACAATTAGTCATCGAGCAAAATGGTGAACTAAAAAGTGTAGCCAATGCCCTCTTTGCGTGTGTACGTGTGTGTGCGTGTTTGCGTGCATGTTTTCGGGGAGGAATGTTAGTAGTAACAATGACAGCTCAAATGACTCACCACCATATGTGTATCTTGTTAGTAACTCAGTTTCAGCAGCTCTCTGCATAGGGGAAACCAGAAATTTAAGATAAACGTACCTAAAGTAAGCTTCATACAAACAAAAAAAAAAAAAAAAGAGAAAAAACATCCACATAGTGAAACTCGATTCACATGAATCTGCATCTCCTAGCACCAACAATGCAGATCAATCTAACACTAATGTATGGAAAACATGACGAAATTTCATCTTCACAAAAGCCAAAAGCAGATGAACTGAAAAGAATTTGAGAGGAGTACAGCCCAGTGAGACATGCATGATCTCAACTGAATGGACAGTAGACTTAAATGAATATGGAACAGAAACAAATTCTCACTAGAAAATTTTCCCCATTAATTTATGTTATCTGAATAATCCGGAAACCACGCATAAGATAATATCACTACAGCTTATGCTAATTAGATTATATAGCAACTCAATATGCACAAATCAAAACAATCTATCGTGTCAAAAAATACCAAGTGCTGCAGACAAGGTATCTTTTCACTGTAACTGCTGATATACAGTGTAACCTAGAAGCAACATCCGAAATGGTTACTGGTCCATGGCGGTTACATCTTTTTCTAAACGATACAGCAATTTAGTAGCAAAATCAATCATGTTACTTCAACAGAAATGAAGAAAATGGAATATTTTTCTATGCGATGCAGAGGAGATGAGCAAATTACAGAAAAGACATCATTACTTTAATCAAGCAAAAGGACAATTGGGCTTAAAACATTATTACTCGCTTCTAAGCCAAGTTATGCTCCTATTTGAAACCTTTTGTCCCAAAACAACAGTCCAGTTTCGAATTCTCCATAGCAATGCGGTTCACTGTATTTTAGTCAAAGAAATTGCGACAAATAGCTTCTCTTGTTTTACCGTCATAAACAAGTTGTAGCTTGTCAAACATGGACTTGTGTTAGGGGGAGAATAGAAGACGTAAAATATTAAGATAGCAACACCACCATGCAACGACACCATAATGAACTTCCCTGTTTCTCATGATTAAATAAGGATATTCGCCCCCCTGTTATTAGTTTAAAAGGGAAATTCTCATAAAATGCTACGCATGTCTTCAAAATATTAAGACAAAACGGCAGCTGCAAAGCATCGGCCAATCACTAGTGGTAGAATATGCACGTTAAATAGCTTCCGAATCAAATAGAATTAACAAGAGCAGGGGCAACAAATCCAGGAAAGATCCTATTAGTTTTCAGAAGGCAGTGAACAGGTGTTAAAAGGGCACTATTCAAAATAAGATGTTACGCCTCTATGACAAATCCCCTTTTGCTATCAACACAGAAGGCATACACCACATTTAAATCAGAACTGCAAATTTGAATGAAAGAAGTTTCGAAATCATACCTTCCCCTCGTAATAACCCTGTAGCAAATAATTCACCACACCGAAGTCAGCAGCAGAGATATAAACAAATCTTTTCACCCCTACAAAAAACAAAAAGTAATTAATTAATCTAAGAGATCTAATAGTTTTAAACAAAAAATAGAGATCCAATATTTCCCTGCACAAATGCATCAGCTCATCGCTGCAAATCAGGGAACAAAACACACAGCAAAATAGGTGGAGAACTTAAATGAGCAGCACAGAAAGCAGTCCCAGAAGGCAACAATACAATAAAGCAAACGGAAAGCATAAAAAGCTTCAGAAGTTTTCGACTTCATGTTGCTTATGTAAATTGATCAAACATCAGATTTGGGAAGATACCAAGGGAAAACGTTGCAGAGTAATAGAAACTTGTAGCAACTTCAAATAGAAAGGTCATGGGTCAGTAAATTTATCTTGATGATGTAATATTTCTCCAATTTTCTTTCAGAAATTATATGTTAGCAGCAATTGTCTTTATCCACCTGCTCAAAGATAAACTCCAGTTTACAATATTGAAAGCACTAAATGAGACATCTAATAACCCTCTCCTAGCTACTCTTGTACACCAGGCACTATAAGTAAAAATTCATTATCACCCTAAACCAGTCAATATTCAAAAATATTATAACTAATGTTCTATTGTGATACACAAGGTGTAGACAAAAAGCCTAGACAACAGTGCTTCATTGGTGAATCTAAAATCTGTAATGAAGTTTTTAAAACATCACAGCCTCTCTTTTGAGAAGGGTATACATGAACGTTTGAAGAGTTCCATACAATGGAAACACTGGAAAGATCACGTTCAACATCAACTACCTGAATGTGTGAAGGCCTGGGATACAAACTAATTACTCTTTTCTCCTCCAGTTTACATCATATCCACACTAAAGAGAAAGTTTACTAGAACAGAACTATATCAGAAGCATCATTCCTAAGAACGGATAAATCTAACCAATAATTCTGGGGATGCCTGAAGATGTTTCTTTCAAACAAGGAAAGATCAAAAGAGCTCCTTACTAGTTGTCTTACTGATGTTTGAACTAAATAATGAGCATGCTTCAACATGTGCCCTCCCACATTAAACTTAAAATGGAGCTCTCTGCCGGAAAATTTTACATTAGTTTATCAGCCCGACTTAAAAAACAAGTTCACATAATTTAGTGAAAAAAAAAACAGAGAAACAAAAACAAACACAGACACACAAACACACACAAAATCAATGGATTTAATCATAACAATAATGAAGAAACAGAGATTTTACATTAGCATATAAACTAAAAATATTATGGAAAACACGGAATCAGCAAAGGCAATACCGTTCAGTAGAGTAAACAATGAAATGAGTTCATCAACACTCTTATTCAATCAAAAAACACAAAGACCTTGAAAGCAATTCTAATAATTTCGTTCTCCAATAGAAAGAATACCATGGCCCAAATACCATTGGAATGTCATCTATTCACAGATTATAGTTTGCACAAAGAAGTAACTTTCTATTATTCTATTATATAATTGACATTCTACATTAACTGGAAAAGTTAAATGAAAATAGAAGAGTGATAACATACAGAAACAAGCCATACTCCATACCTTCTTCTGCAGCAGCTCTAATTGCATTAATATTTGCAGTTCCATTGATTTTGTACATATACGAATTAGAACCAAAGCCACCCACACAAGATATCTGTAGGAACAAAATTGCATGAGGCAATTTTTGAAGACTAAAATAAGAAAGGCAGGACAAGGAGATCTTTGAATGGAATTGGATTTTAAGAAATATCTACAAGTAGAGATGCCAGCACTATTTATGGAATCAGTGCCCATTACAAAAGAAGGGAAAAAGATCAGATGGATGGACATAATGAGAACGTATACTCATCAAGAAGAATGCTTTCTCTCTGATACCCCTCATTATGGACACTTAGACAGATCCTCGCAAGGTGTTTTATTTAGTTCCTCAATCCCAACAGCATATCCTTCGAATGAGCTAAATTGTAAGTCACAAAATAGGAAAACAATTTTGAATTCCAATGTTGCTCAAAGAAAGAAAAAAGAAAAAAACGAAAAAAAAAAAAAGAAAGGAAAAGAAGAACAGAAAGTATCACATGGATCACCCACAATGCACCCACCACACATGAATGTGCAATAAAAAGATTTCCATCATATTGCAACCCCGAATTCATTCTGTATTCAATAAAATCTTCTCGAAAGCAAGCAAATCCTTAGTCAATTCAACTCAATGCAAGTTACAAGTGGAGATAGTTGATAGAAATCTGATACCCGCTGGAAGATTAGAAAAACCTAAAAATTGTATGAAATATGGAAGACAATAGGTTTCTTTAATCCCCAAACTGCATAACACAAAATATGGCAGCAAGTCCCAGGTAGTAACTACCTTTGGACGTGGACTTAGGGCATGGATCTTGGTATTAGGAGAGCTTCAAGTTGTCTGACTCTTGAATTTTCTAAGCTCAAGACACGGAAACATGGGCAAATGAGTCCCATATCAGTGCAGTGCAGGGGTCATTAAGGTAGATAATACTTCATAATTTCTAAAGTTCGCTGAGTAACCAGACAGAATGAGAGGTTGACATAGGGTATGTCAGATTTAGTATTATTACATAGTAGTAAGATAAAAAGTGAGATTTTTCTTATATAGTATCCCCTAACCAATAGGACTTGTGCATCAAAAAATTTATGATTCTTATATACCGATAAAATCTTCTCTTCATTCTATGGAATCATTACAGCCAGATTTCGACAACAAAAGAAATTCAACACAATTAAAATTAAAAGGATTACTTTCCATGAATCATGTCACACACATATTTAGATTTCATCATACTGTTACCCACGCCCTATAATGTCGAAACGAATACTTGGCCATGAAATGCAAGTCCATGTACATGGAGCCGTTAAAAATAAGAGCAAGAAAGAAAAACAGAACTACAAGTCATTTTAAAACATAATGAAGCAACATCTATTATCTCTTTTAGACATGTAATCATGGTACTAATTTCCACTTTTTACTCACTACAGAAGTTTACAATAAGCATATTCACCAAACCCAGAAACAATAGAAAGGGGAAAAATGAGATAAATGGAGAAGACAGAGATAGCTAGATAAACGAAATGAAGATTTTGATTACATACAACAGATGTTACTCCTTTTAAAGCATCCTTCCAAGAGTCATCCGAAAGGAGGTTTCCTGAATGTGACACAGATAAATGTGTCAATCCACAATCCAAAAAGAATAAACAATACTACAAATAAAAGGAGAAAAATAGACACCTTGATACCAAATTACATTGTTAGCCCAAGGTTCTTGTATGGTAGATCTTCCTGTTCTGCAAGAAGAAAAGCAAAAGTTAGTGTGACGCACATTCACAATCAGGATACGATGAAGAAGGCTATCTTCATGTGTGACCTTTTCACCCCTCATAAGCTCCAAATATTGTGCAACAATTTGACATGGGTCATCATCGAAGGAAGAGAATCAACATTTCTGACTGCATATAATTATACATAACAAGATAATGATAGAGAAGATATTGTTACATTTGTTGTAATTCTGAGTCAAAAGGAAAAGTTCAGCTAGATAAAGTGAACAAAAACTGAGCATGCTATACTATAAATACTAAGCATATGGGTCTAAACTCTAAACTTTCTCCATATAGAATAAAATATGAATGGAGAAGAAAAAGACAGACAGTTTAATGTTTCAACCAATAGAACATCGGCTATCGATATAACAAGAAAGGGATACACCACATCAAGCAAGAGGTAAGCTCAGTATTACAAGAGAGTGCAAACTTTTAACAGCACAAATAAATACAAAGACCAAGCATGGCAACTAATGAAACATGGCTTAATCAAAAGCAGCCAGTTCGGTATGGATAAGAAAGTTGCATTCCAAATGTTAAATCGACTCTGGTCTTATATCAGTCTGACAACCCCATCAATTCAATTAGTAGAAACATAATAAACTGGCCAAGTCATCTCCTCTTATAGGCATGAGCCAGCACCATTGTTAATTATCTTATGAATGAGATACTGTATAGGACGTTAGTTTTCATATATGAATAAGAGCCTTGTGAGACTGTACTCACCATGAGGAGATTAATAGCATTTACAATCTGCAACTAAATCTAAGTCTTCTCATAGAAATTCTGTAACAACCTACATTAGAGAAATTTAAAGAGTTCACCAAAAGTAACTCCATTCAGCAACTAATTTACAGCACAAAGACCAAGGATGCCTAGTTAATTTTAGTTCTCTTCTTCTTTTGTGATATAGCGTAACTGCATCAATTTGTATCGATCATTATTTAGCACTTAGCAGTACAATAAGTGAGGAACAAACCAATCTTTATGAACACATGAAGTTACCTGCTAAGGCTGGAAACCGCAAGACCACGACCTAGAGCCTCTTTACAAATATGTGAGCCAACAAATCCATTACCACCCAGAACAAGTATCTGTATATTACATAAAAAGACACCGTGCACACTTTAGTATAAATCACCATTGTCCTACAATATTTAGGGTATTCCCGAAACCATTAAATACCTTCTCCGATAGAGGAGGGACATGTACAGTGTCAGCTTCCTCAGTTTTAACAGGTTCATCAACTTTAGTAGGATCTGTGCAGAAAAGCCGTTGATTTCTTGCGGCCGCCATGCTTCTGCATTTGTTAAAGAAAGACAACTACAATTAGCTGCATGATTCAGCATTTAAACCCAAGTTGTGTTATATAGAATACAAGAAGGTAAAGTAATGAGGACACTCACAAGCTCAGACCACACTACTCACAAAATACTTGTAAATCACGAATTATTTTAAGAGTTGATGGATGCATTAATGTCAACCTTAGATAAGTCTTTCCACACAATACTAAACTAGAAACAGCACAAGAGAATGAAAGTCTCTTACATGTCTCGAGCAAAACATAACCAATCAACTGCAAATTACGACCTCACATAGAGCAATAATTGATTGAACTATCAATTAAAAAGAAAAAAATAATAAAGGTCATCCGTCAATAATTTATATCCTGCTCGTATAAAATATCAGATTTAGTTTCGGTTTTCTTTTCTTTTTTGGTAAAAAGGAAATAAATTATTCTTTAGTTTATTTATGTTATCATTGAAGTTCTTGAGTATTTCTCCTTAATTATTTCTTTGATGTTTTCTCGGAAACTTTTAACCTAGTATTTTCACAAATGAATTCATATATATAAATCTTCTGAAGTTCATAGGCAACTCAGAGTGCAAGCACAGAATTTGGTGTAACAACACAATATGACCATTTGTCATTAAGCTTTTGAAATTACATTTCAGCCAAAAATAAAATCCACTAAAACTCTTCTGAATTTAGGTCAATAAGCATCGAAAAAGTCCCATGAATATGCGGGTTTTTTTTTTTTTTGGGGGTGGTGGTGGTTAGTGCGACATGATTCAAGCTGAAGCGAGTAGACGTCAACATTGACACAAGTACATAGACGAAAAGTATCGTGTGAAAAAAAAAAAAGCAATATTTTGATCTACATAAGAAAGACTACTTTACATTGGATGCTGTCTCGTTTAGAAGAATCTTTGTAAACAATTAAGGGGAAAAAGATAAAGGAAGAGGATGGAGCTACGCAAATGGTATGCATTACATTTCTGATAAACCTAGTGGGTCACTTTCAAAGACTACATTTGCTTAAATGGAGACTTTCAACGTAAAGAATAAAAAATTAAAGAAAACTGAATCTATAGTCGAAGGATATCAGGTAACATCAGAGGGAGATATTTACTTACAGTTGCAAAAATTAAAGCTAGCAGTTCACGAAATACTCAAGTAGATAATGAAAAGACATGCAAGCAAACCCTTATAGACATTTATAGATATAGTGCTTGTGCATAGCCACGCATGCACCCGATGTCTCAGGATTCTAACTCTCACCTGATGACCACTTTGGTGGCATCGCCCAACCATTTATGATTATTAAACGTGTATCTGACACACACCGGCGACTCTAGTAGTTCCAATTAGAAGAAATATTAAACTCTAATTTGTTGGCCTTTTTGCAAATGACCACAAGATCACATGCATTTGAAGGAACAACAGACAGTCCTTGAACACAAATTCTTCTTTTCCTACTAAAAGAGAAGAATGATTCCAAATACTAACTGCGCAGCTCTGCTGAAGCTAATAACCAAACTCAGGTCACAAAGAGTTAGCATTAAAAATTCCAAAATCTTCAACGTTATGAAGTAACATTGGTCTATATTTCAACAATACTTACTACACCTTAGGGGCAAGTTAGGTCCTGCAGATAAGCAGGAATGGAAGAGATACACTTCCAAATAACTACGAAACCAAAACTAGATCCTCCACGAAGCAAATACACATTCCCTTAAGAAAAAATTGTATCAAATGAAGCAAGTTTACTCGCAAACTGGAGATTGAATTCAGTGATTCTTGCATAAAGAGGACACCAAGCAAAAATAAATTACTTAGTTTAGACTTTAATTGAATTCATTATAAATCGTCTAATATAGATTAGGCTAAACTTAATTTATTCCAAGTGACCCCTTGATCGGTATATTTTCTGAACAACGGCCTAGACTCCGTATTGCTTAAGCTTTCCTTGAATTATAAGCAACCCATAACATCTTCGATCAACAAGAGAATTAGCACTACGCTCTCCTTCAACCAAAACGACAGAATTCAACCAACAGCAAATGCAGACATGCTAAAGATAGCTAGTGGCGAACTACATTACTGCAAACAAAATCAAAACGACACACCAGCGTAGTTAATCAATTAACACACACCTGAAACAATCGATTCAAGAAACACTCGAAAAGCACAAAAATAATAATAAAAAAAAATCACCGTCCCCGAATCCAAACAGAAAAAAACACCGAAAAACTTTAACACACTAAAATTAACGGAGAACGTGAATATGAAAGAACAAATTGGCAGCAATCTATAACTTACGAGAATTTTGAGAGAGAAAATGGAGACTTGATTACGCGTAACATTCTGAATTGTTCACAGCGTACTCTAATCGCCGTTTAGATTTCTGTATCGATTGAGTGATCAAGGGCTTCGACAGGGAGGGACGCAGAGAAGAAATAATGGTTTGATGAGCGACAGGTGATAGTTTCCCTTTTTTCTTTTTTCTTTTTTTCTTAATTTATTATTTTCTTAATATTTCTACAATTTTCCCGGTTAATTGGAAAAGAACAAAAGGCTCGGGGGCCTTTTTCGACTTCCGTTGAGACGTGCGGACGCGTGGCATGATAACTAAATGACAGGTGTACAACGCACGTGGCTAAATTTGTGCCTTGAGAAATAGTACTATGTACCAGCTCAAAGTAATTAGGGATCGGACTTTGCCCCATTCTTTGATTTGCGTTCAATATGTAATTAGATGTTTGGCCCAGGCAGATGTCGGGCGCCCTTTCTAAATTATTATTTTATTAAAATCTAATCGAATTACTATTTTTTGAGGAATTAATTTGTCGTATATATCATTTATGTTATAGTTTAGAGCTTAAAAAAATATACCTATAAATCTGAGGTTATAAGGGAATAATAAATAATTAGTTTATAAAGCAGTATTCTTAATTGCTGGATCTAGGTATTTTTATTTTTTGTTTTATATTAAGCCTGCAAAACTATACGATTGGACATTTGAATTTGAATTAATATATCCATTCGTTTGAAATGTAACTGATCCTTATTTGTAGTAAAACATGTGTTTTTTTAAAAAATATAACTTCTAATTAAAAGAGACTTACACGTGGCAAAAAGACTCCTGAAATCTGAAATATGGTGCATTGGAGCCAAAACAGATGCATACGTAGTTGCCACATAAGTTCCATGTCTTCTGCTTTAATAAGGTAAAAGGGGTGCTTTCAAAAAAAAAAAGTTCAATATGTAATTTGGTAAGTTGTTATTAAATGGAATCAACATATTTAGGATTTAGACTCTCTTATATCTTCTTACTTAAGTCACTTTTTCATTGTAGTTGCCCATGCTTTATTACTTTGAACACTAGAATAATCTTTAGTAAAAGTTTAACCAATATAAAAGAATGATGTCATGTGAAATGAAATACAAAATATTATATTAGTAAAATTTTAACCAATAAAAGAATGATGTCATCCAAAATAAAATAGTCCCTCCGTCCCAGAAAAATAGTCCAGTTTAAAAATATACAACTTTTTTAGTTTGGTCAACACATCAAATGTACAACTCATTTTATGTCCCTAACTTCCACTAATGTCTCTTCTAGTTATTTTTATAAAAGTTAACTGCGTATGCATTTATTTTACAACTTAAATTTAATCAAAATTTTTATCTCAAAAAATATTGACAATCGATCTTGATAGAAAGATCTCGTTACGTAGATTAATTTGATATATAACACATTTTTTAATTATTCATGTATTAAAAATATAATTATTTGAAAAAATGAAAGAAAATTAAAAAAAATAAAAATCAAAGGAAGTGGACATTGTTTCTTTACCACTAGTCTTTTTTATATTTAAGTCATTTCAATTGAATTAATTTTGACTTTTGTGAAACTAGACTATTTTTTTTGATAAACTTTTTTATTGAACTGAACTATTTTTGTAGGACGGAGAGAATCTAGAAACTATCAAGATAAATATCATTTGCTTTCTAGGAAACGGTTATAACCAATTGTGAAACTTTGATAAATACTTGTACGTATTATAATCAAGAAAATAAAGAAGTTGTATTGCGAAAAAGTGAACAATTTGAAGTCTGCTTAGGATGAGGGGTTTGGCTCAATGTATATATATACTATGTAGTTGCAGCTTAAAAGCAGTGTGTTTGTAAGGTTTTCCTTTTATTTCAGACAAATAAAAATATTTGGATGCAAAATAAGGTAATGGATGATTATTGCAGCACAGTCGAGTGAATATATAATTGAAACTTGAAACTCTTGCTATTTATTAATATTTGCGGCCATTCATATTAGATTATTGTGGCTATTCTTATTAGGATCAGATTTTTCCCCGTATGTCATATTAAATTGATACTTAGATATAAAAATTAATATTTAGGTAAAAAGTTTTTCTCGTATGTAATATGTAATTTTTTCCCGTATGTTAAAACACAGGAGCAAATGCAACTCCAAGGTGCCTAGCAGAGTGAAGAAGATCTCACAAATGGCCTGGTGGATTTGTCTTTACAAGAACATGGTCCTGGGGAGCCAAAGATGGCTTTCCAACTGATCGAGGAAACCGATGATCCACCAAGCCGACTTCTCTCGTCGTTGGATTTCCCGACGGATCCTGAAGAGGCTGATGTTGTCCCAGAAAATCATAGACCGGTCAAATCTTATGAGGAGAATGGCCAAGTCAAAGAGTAAGAATTGGTACGAATCAACGGCCAAATTCAAGCTCTCTGTCAGACGCCGACTTCGTGGGACAAATTCTTCACAACGAAAAATAAGGAAACGTTACCGGATTGGTGGGAGCCGGATTTCTATATTTCGGCCGGAAGGTGGGCGACGATAGATGAGGGGATTACTGACGAATTAAATAAGAACAATACTTACATACCGGAGGGTGAGTCAAACGGAAGTAAAGTCTTGGGGGACATTTTTGGCTATGGTCTGTACATTACGGAGCCCCTAAAATAATTGTGGTCTGCAAGGATTTGACGTGAATGAGCAATTCACGGGAGGGTATTGACGGAGACGTACAAAAGAAACGTGGGTCAGGAGAAGAAAAAAAAAGTGATAGAAGAAAGTGAGGATGAAAGGCTGGGCAAATTTCTTGATTTGTGGCAGATTGCTACGAAATTTGGGCTGGTGTTAAAAGCCCAAGGAAAGAGAGAAAGGGGAGGAAGCCCAACAATGGAAAATGTATTATGTTTAGGGAGGGCGGATTCAGAATGGCAGTTGGAAGCCCAGAAGAGGAGGATGAGTTGGGCCGTGAAGAAGTGTCTGATGAAGAGATAGCCCAACGGGGAAAGGGCCTGAGTGAAGAACAAAGAAGAATACGTAGGATGATTCGAAGGGGAAAAAGAAGGGTGACCAATGAAGCAAGGGGTTCCAAGGAGAAGCCAAAACGCAAGCCCATAGTACAAGCATGCAGGAATTGGCCCACTAATACAGGCCCAAATGTGGGGAATACTAGTGGACTCAAGGAGGAGGCTCAGAAGACCAGAGCCCATACGGCCATGTCACAAAAGGAGAAACGAAACCATTCTGGGCCAAAAGAGAAAAGAGGTGTAGATGGGCTGATCAGAAGAAGGGCCAGACGACTTTTCACCAAATGGGCTAGGAAAGTAAAGGGGAAGTTTCTCGAAATAGTATGTCAGGAATAGACCGGAGGGTGCTGGACCGGGGAGATAACCCAACCGATTTGGGTGAACAGGAAACCGATCCAACCCAAGGCGGACTGACAAAACAATCGGCCAATTCCCAAGTCGAAAAGAAGGCCGTTGATAGAGCCAACGATGGGAGGGAATAGCTACTGCCGGTCAATCCCACCCGGTTCACGTCAGAAAACATTATTGTCTCGGAACAGAATACACCAATCAACATCGACTGGCCACTGGCGCCGTCACAAGAGGAAAGAAGAAGGAGGAAGAAAGAGGAGAGCCAGATCGGCACCGGCATTGATTGGGGATTTGGTGGGTGGCGAGTTCTGGAGGTGGCATGAGGATCGAAAGCGGCTGAAAAAAGTGTGACAGTTGGCCACAGATAAGAATGGGGGGGTAACGACCGTGGGGGATAAAGAAGTTGGAGGAGAAGGAGGAACTGGGGCGGGTTTACCAACGAGGAGAGGGTGAATTTGGTGCTGTCCACAAGAACATGGGCTGAGATATTGAGAAAGAGGAGAGTAAGTACACTATTAGAAACAAGCTAAGTGTGTAGGAGGCGGATTGACATGCAGCTATCTTTGGATGAGGTTCGAAGGATGCTTGGTGGGGATCCAAATCGTAAGATCCCTCTACTAACTTTCTTTTATATTCCTTAAATTAGTGAAATGATAATTTACTAGGAAAAAAAATTAAATAACTAAATAAGTAAATAAGCAAAAGGATTTATATGCGATTAAAAGGAAAATAGAGGGGAAGAATATTGTATTTCAAAAAAGTAAGGACACCTCTTTATTATATTAAAAGGATAAGTCCAAAAAAGAAAGACAGGTGTCCTTATTAGTTTTATCTATTGCATATCTCTCATACGTGTACACTAATTCACCCATATTCACTCTGTACCCCCAACCCCTCTCCCCCGCTCCCCCTCCCCCACTCCATCTTCCCCCACCTCCAACCCCCAGTACATACAGGTACCTCCAGAAGTAGGAGTTGGTATAGTATAAATAGGCCTTGTACACTGTTATTTGTAAAGCAGTGACAGGAATTCAGAAATAAAATCAGTCAGTGAGAAGATGTAGATAGGCAGATAAAATTTCTATAGTTTTTAGTAGATTTAGTAGATTTAATGAGAGTATATCTATATCATTAGACAATCAGAGAAGGGAATTAGCTCCAAGAGGGAAGTCTCTTGTGTTCCAAACCTTTTTCCATGTAAGTAAACTACCTATACTGGATTTTCCCAAAATTTTATTGAGGTAGTATCAATTTTTAAAGTGAGATTTAGAATGATAGTTTCTGCAATTTTTGATTTGTTTTGTTGTGTTTTACCTTCGTTTTTTTTTTAAGGAAATGGAGAAGAGGATAAACAATAGTCTAATTCAGCTGCAGTAATAAACGAAAAAAAGTTAACATATTTTCGGTTTTGGTTGGGTGTGTGAGGGTTATTTTTTCCGTTGTGTTTCTGAAAAAATGGGGAGGGAGGATTGTGCATGTGTGGGTGTTTTTTTGATGAAGGAGATTATGAATAGTATTAAGAGAATTGGGTTTGGGTGTAAAGAAAAGAAATTTGGGCTTGCTGGTTATATTTGGCCATAATCACTAAAAGGCCATTTATCTTCTATTTTCTTTTACATTTGGGTTATGGAGTGTGTGGGGTGTGTTGCTGGTCTTTGGGCCGAAAATACCCACCCACAACTCACACAATAGTTTCTGTTTTGCTTGGGTTTGTGGGTTCATGGGCTGGGCAAGTAACTTTGTTAATTGGAAGGAAAAGATAGGGGAGTATCAGTACTAATAAATTTAAAAGACAGAAGCAAGGAAAATACATTGTGATATTTATGCCTTCTTTCGTACCATTAATCTTCACAATGCGAACATATTTCTTTTCTCTTAGGAAGTAACCTTAACTGCTTTTGATTTAAAAGTTTGAACAGATTACTTGCCCGAGCTTGTTTGGAATACAGAGAATCCAAGTGAGTGTTTCACTATTTGTTATAATATATGCTTGGTTGCTTCGGGGTGTACTTAATCACTCTGAAAAAAATGTGTTTATGTGATATTCTTATAGTGAATTGTGTGCAATAAAAGTGAAGTGGATCCACGCCCTTTCTAAGAATTCTAACCGACGGGCCGGCAAGGGGCTTGGTCGCCGGCTAGATGAATTAGAAAGAAGTGAAGGTAATCTACAGATTTAACAAAGTGAATGACCATAGTGTTTGGACGTTGTTGGCGGTTGCAAGGATTAAAGATTGAAGCAGCCGTATCCTTTTAATGTGGGATGTTTATTTAATGTGCTAAACTCTTATTATCTTATGATTTTTGTTAAATCGTTTCATTAGTTGCTGTTTTTAAAGTGAAACCTATTGGGCGTTAGCTCATTTTGTTTTCCTTAGGGTGATGGTGATCAATTTAATTGTTTGATGTTCATAGAGCGAGGTTCTTCGTTGTTGAGAGGACTCGTCATTGTAAAATAGAATAAATGGAAGTCATGTTCTTGTAACATATAAGCAGGCTTGGTATTTTATGAATAAAAATTTATTTATTTATGTATTTTATCGCTCTTGATAAATGATTGTTAGTAAGTCTTGACGCGAGTCTAGCAGATGCCCTAGCTCGACTACTTCACCAATCACGGGAGAAGTCTAATTTGGGGCATTACAGTTGTGGTATCAGAGCATGGTATTACTAAAACGCATTTTTATTTTTTAAAAAAATAAATTATCATTCTAGTCTCTTCTAAAAAACAAAAAGTGATTTTAGACCAATTTTGTTTTGTTACGCGAGCAAAGTATTTTCTAATCTATTAGAATCAACTTTTGACAATGTATTTATTCTAAATAGGTTTGGTTTAAATAAAATGTTTTAACAAAGAAAGTAGTCAAAACCATTAGAATGTTTACAATTAGTGGTTTTATTTTATTTTTTGTTGGTTAAATTGTTTGTGGTAATACTAACATAATTGTTGTGTATGTTGTTCTTTGATAGTGTTGTGACCATTGTTGCTTAGTCATGCTCTCTAAATTATCTGCGTGCCTTGAACTTGTGTTGTAGTATACTTCCTTGGGTTCTTTATGTGTATGTCTAGTCACCATGTTATTTTAGAAGAAAATATTTGTAACATTGCCCTATTTTGTAGGTCATTAATAATGTGTAGTGAGCTTCTTACGGACTCCAATAGGAAACCGTTCTCTTATTGAGATGACAGTACCCAAGCCTATGTGATCAGTCAGCCCTGTGCAAAACCTCCAAAAGCGGGTTGAAACCCTTTCATAAATGGTGTTGTGCAGGCACTGGTTGAAGAAAGAGATCTCTTCTTTAATAGAGTTAGGAAGTTAGAGCAACAACTAGGCACCATACTGAGGCACTATATAAGGAGTTAGAAAAAAAATCAAATATTAGGGGTGCTTCAGGACTTTGTTAAGATATAGGAGAAAATTAACAATTCCTTGTTTCAGATAATTCAGGAGTCTCAACATATGAAACAGCAGGGAGACATGACTCTTCAAATTTCTAGAGAAAATTTGCTTGACATTTTACATACTTGTAATGAAATGAAAAAGGTTGTTAGCAAGGCTATAAGTCAGCTTCCCGTGTCTCAACCACTACTTCCTGCACCGCCCATGGAGTCTGTTGAGAATTATGATGTTGCAAGTTTCTTAGCCTAACCTGGAATAGAAGAGGCTAATTTTTGGCAAACTGAGGAAATTTGTGTAATAGTTTAAATTTCCCCAGTTTTGAATGTGTACATAAATTGTGTGCATGTGTTGTAGCCCTAGGCTTTTGGGATTAATCGTGCACATTAACTATCCCATAATGTAAATATGAATAAGTGGGTATGCCTTGGTTCTTTGTTGTTTTCATTACCTTTGTTAGATTCATGTTTATCAATTCTGTTTATTTTAGATCATTATTAATTCTTCATAGAAGTTATCTTATTGGTGATAACCTACTTTGCTCTAATGTTATTAATTATATTAAAAATATATATAAAAATAGGACCAACTACCATTGAAAAGGATGGAGGAATTTCAAGAGCAAGGAAATACGATGTATACAGTAGGACTTGAACGTTTGACAATTCAATAACAAAAGCTCTACAGGCTTTGTCTCAACAAATTTCTCAATACATAATAGAAAACCCAACTCATGAACAACGATTCTTTGAAAGACGTAATCAAGCACTGGATTGGTTCCAAAGGTTTCACCCACCCTTGTTTACTGAGGAAATGATGACGAAGAAGCAGAACGATGGCTGGAAAGCACGGGTAACACTTTCAAAGCCCTAGATTACTCAGAAGTAAGAAAGATTAAATTTGCCATATATCAACTCCGTGGTCCTGCCAAAGATTGGTGGAAGTTAGTTCTGTATAAATGGGACATTGAGAAAACTCCTAAAACATGGGACAAGTTGGAGTTGGAATTTCAGAAATTATATTTTTTACTTAGTCCGAGAAAGAAAGGAGGAATTTATCAATCTCAGGCAGGGGGCTATGTCTGTCTCTGAATATGAAGCAAAATTTTCAAAGCTGTGTAAGTACGCCTCTGAGATGGTAACCACGTGTCACGGACGGTTTTTCTTCACCACGAATTCGGGTGGTTTGATGCGAAACGGGCTATTTTCGTAGACGGACATGGGACGGAACGGTCTAGAGCCTTGTGGAATTCTCCGGTCAAATCTTGAAGACTCTGGAATTTTCTAGAGAGGCCCGGAACTCTCTAGAAACGAGTGGAACCGTGTGGAAGCTACCCGAGTTTGCTAGAACCGTGTGGAAGATTCTAGAGACTTGTAGATATTTTGAACTTAGAATATTTTATTGTAGGAATTCTCTAGAATTCCATTATTTTATTATGTACATAGAATTCTCTAGAATTCTTTAGGACTTGGGGTTTGCCTATAAATACCCCATGCCCCTTCATTTGTAATCCATCCAAGCTTTGAGTAGAGTTCTCAAGCATTCCTTAAGCTCTCTTGTGCTTTCATCGTTCTTTCACTTTCAAACTTTCTTAAGTTTTTCTTTGCCTCCGTTCTTTAAGGTCTTGCCTAGCTTTGCACGTTTTGGGGGTCTTAAGACTGAGCTAGCACTTGATCGTTAGTTGGTTTGTGCTAGTCCCGCACGGCCGTTACTTTGAAAAAGTAAGCCCGTGACAGTTGGTATCAGAGCCTCGGCTTGATACTTGGTGTGCTACATCGTCTACGCTTCCGTTTGTTGGTTTTCTTTCGTACATAAGCTATGTCCAACCCTTCGGAGGTTGTTCAAGGGTCGGAGCTTGAGGGGGATCACGTTTCCCGTGAGGTGGGGAGGACCACCCGCAAAGGAAGCTGCAAGGAGAAGTCGGT